CTGCTGGGGGTTTATGCAGCAGCACCCTGTGTGTTAAGGGTCACACAGGAGTGGGTTGCAGGGGGGTCCCACAGTGTCCGGTAGTCTTCGTTCCTCTGGGGTCTCACAGTCTTCGCTCCTCTGGAGTTCTGCGGTAGGTGGCTGGCTGTTGTTCTTCCCGGGTCTCTTCCAGGTCCCTCTCGCGGCGTTCTCCCGTCTGGCAGCGGCGTTCCCCCGGCTGGCGGTGGTGTTCCCCGGTCTGGCCTGATTCTGGACTTTTGTTCTCCTCTTCCTTTGTCCAGGGAGCTCTGGTGGCTTTTTATTAATAAATTGTACGGCCAACCCAAAGGCCCATGGTTTGAATCCACCGGCTGCTCCACAGGAGGAAGATGAGCAGTCTCCTCCCGTGTGATTTACAGCCTCCGGAAACCCACTGGAGGGCCACGTATGAGTCGGTTCCAACTTGAGGATACACAACAACTGCCACCACAACAAGAACTTCACCTCCCTGTTTCACCTGATAACAGACAGCGACCGACTGTGGTTAGCCACACGTTCACCTGCTGGAGCTTCGTGTATCCTGTATCGGGCTCCTGCACACACTGATCAACCAATGGCTGCAGCAAGCCCAGCAGACAGAGACGTGCACAGACCACCATCCTGCCACACCCACTGGAGGACAGGAGGAAGAACAGTGGGAATTATCCAACCCAGCAGACAGAGACATGCACACACTGTCTTACCACACCCACTAGAGGACAGGGGACAGGACAGTGGGAATTATCCAGCCCAGCAGACAGAGATGTTCAGAGACCACTGTCCTGTCACACCCACTGGAGGACAGGAGGCAGGACAATGGGAATTATCCAACCCAGCAGACAGAGACGTGCACACACCATCCTGCCACCCCCACTAGAGGACAGGGGGCAGGACAGTGGGAATTATCAAACCCAGCAGCTGAGGCAACATGCACAACCTTCTGGGTCAGGAACCTACAACAAAATAAGGAGAAAAGCCCAGTGGGATGAGGCCTCGGAGCTAAGAGGTTTTTAAAAATTCTAAGTAAAAAGCAAAGGCAGATTTATTAGAACAGGTATGTCCTGAAGGGGCAGTCCAGCTTCTGTGGAAAGGAAGTAATGGAGACAGTTTCAAACCAGTCAGAAACCAGGACAAGATGGAACCAGACAGTGAGCAAAATACAGAACAAGAAAACCTTTGAGGGAGGGAAAGACTACAGAATCTTCCTGATAAGCAAATTTAAAAGAATGTTCCTCAGGTGCCTTGTACAGACAGAAAAAAGCACAAACCCCAGAACTGCCTAGCGACCAACCATCCTTGCATTCTTGACACCGGGTATCCAAGACTGCGGATAAACTGGCTGGTGTTTGCTGGCTCAGTTAGGCCCCATTTTCTAGCTATGGTCACTTCCGTTAGAACTTCCTTTCCGACTTCTCATGCTTACCTGGGACCAGCCTCAGCCAACCCTAAACTCTACCACTCTGTACTCTGATGCCTCACCCATCCCGAGCCCTAATCCTAGACCAGGATAATCATAGCCCATATCCTAATATATAGGGAGCCCTGGGGGCCTAGTGGGAAGAAGCTGTGCTGTCATTCTGAAGGCATGTGGTTCAAGTCCACCATGTGCTCCTTGGAGAAGGATGGGTGATCTCCTCCCGGGCAGTTAACTGTCTCTGAAAACCTGCTGGAGGGCCAGCTATGGGTTGGTTCTGCCTCGACAGTACACAAGAACAACATATACTGTATATGGAAGGAGCTCTGGCGGCGGCACAGTGAGAAAGGAGTTGCGCTGCCAACCCAAAGACAGGTGGTTCCAATCCTCCAGCTGCTCTGAGAAAGATGGGCAGTCTCTGTCTGTGCAGTTTAGAGCCTCTGAAAACCTGCTGGAGGGTCAGCTACGAGTCACTTCTGATCAGACAGCACAAAACCACAAACAAGAACAACAACATATACTTCACGGTTTCGGGAGTTGTGTACTTGGATTCTCTGTGGCTCTGAGGAAGCCGCTGGAGCACCGCGGAGGAAGCAGGAGGTGGACATGCTCCTGGTCGGTTCCCGCATAATGCAGCCAGGCTTTGAAGAAAATCTCTATGCTGATGGTGTCGTTGTCTATGGTCTGCAGATCGATGTCGGTTCCCAAGACACAGTTCTCTGCAGGAGAAGGAGAAACAACAGTTCAAGTGTTGTCTTCCTTAATTGGAAAATTTGAAATAGAGGAGAATTTAAGTGCCATCTTCAAGGGTATCTCCTGAGATCTTGTTGTTGTTAAGTTCCCAGAGAGGTGTGTGGACAAGACACATGAGGACGTGTGCACAGATGTTCACGGCAGCACTGACATAATAATGAGTAACTCACAGCCGAGACGGAAGCCGTGAAAATGTTCACCAAGAGGGGGGGTTTTACACACTGCCACACACTCACACTACAGAATGTGGCACAGCTGTTACAAAACCAAAATAAAGCTTTATGTGTTGACAGGGAAAACAAAGAGATAGCAAATGGATTGGAGAGGGCGCGTAGAGATAGGAACTTTCTCCTATGCTGTTGATGGGATTGTAAAATGGTACAATCACTCTGGAAGGCAGGCTGGCGTTTCCTCAAAAACCTAAACAAAGGGATTCTGTATGACTCAGCGATTCCATCAATGCTAGGAATATACCCCAAGGTAATCAGAACTGAGACACAGGTGGAGATTTGTATGCCAATGTTATGGCAGCGTTCTTCACAATCGCAAGAACACAGAAACACCTAATTTCTGTCAACAGATGAAAGGATTGACAAACTGTGGAAAAGTCACTTGATGGACTACTACGCAGCACTGAGGAACAATGATTTCTGAAAACACTACATAACACAGGAGAGGCTAGAGAGCACTATGCTGAGTGAATTAACTCAGTCTCATAAGGAGAAATGCTGCATAAGACCATTACTGTAAAAATAGAAGGATGACTAGTAAGATGTGTATAAATGTCCACAGAGGGAAGGAGGGGTTGAACTGAGGATCAAGAGAACGAAAATCGCAGCGCTGATGGAGTTTGGTGGCTGGTGGGAGGAGGAAAGGAATTGGGAAATATTCAGTGGATCTGAAAAGATCTGAAAAGACAGGGTAAGAGTGGGCATAAATCAATAGTGATTAATTTTATAAGACACAGGTGGACGATTTATCAACAATCTGTGTTATGCAGATGACACAACCCTGCTTGCTGAAACTGAAGAGGACCTGAAGCGCCTGCTGCAGAG